GATATTAATATTCTATTTTAAATAGAATTCCTTGGTTCAGAGTACATGCTATCGATAACGCCCAAATTGTGTTTCTAGCAATCTTTGAAAGCATGACATTGTGCCAGGAAAGGTTAAACATGCTTTTCTGGAACTGTTTCTTAGCCCAAGAAAGTTATACAGCTTAATAATTCCCAGGATAATTATGTAGAAACTACGGTGTTTTTTCTTGTTTTGGTTTGGTGGTTTTTGTCTTGTTTCATTTTTGCCATCATTGTTTTTTGTTGATTGATGCATGTATACAATTAATTTCTAATGCCTGTTTGCAGAAAGGCATCTGTCCCATGCAGGACTGCTGGTTTGTAGAGCGGCACTAAATATTAGACTGCAGAAAGCAGTCTTTAGGTTTCCAAAGAATACTAGTTGCACCACCACTCACTGAATACGATAAAAATAACATGATATCTATCTTAAAAAAAAAATAGTATAATGATGAATATAAACATAGCAAGCTATGTTAATTTGATCCCAGGCAGGAATGTCTTACCTTTCCATATGCGATGTTGAAGGTTTAGGGGAAGATTCTTTTTGATCAGTTTAAACACTAAATGAAGAGTGTTAGTTTTACACGCAGAGGAAGTGAGATGAAGGACAGGTGGAAGGACAGGTGTTTCCTTGTCTAAGCAAAGCAGGATTGCTAGGCTGCAAGTCAGAGAAGCATAGATTTGGTGACACGGCAGCAGCTGAAGCAGGGCTCTACAGGAGCAGGCAGGTTCTGCTGCAGTTCCAGACATTTTGCCAGGCAGAGGTGGATTATAGGGCCTCTACAAGGAGAAGTCCAGCCATGTGCACTCATGCAAACTGGGACACTTCCTGGCGTTTTTGTGGGATGCAAAGTTCGCAAGAGCCTGGTGCAGGCTGCTAACTTCCCAGAATTGTTTTGATCTTTTGGTCTTTCCAAAGAAAACTTCAGGAAGGAACAAACGCCTGAATGTTCAGCCCCGAAGTCCCTACCCTGGAAGAAGGCACTTGAGCAGCCTTGCAGCTCCAAGACACGGCTGGAGCCTGCAAAGCCCTCACCTGACACCAGCGGCCGACAGCTGAACTACTGTGCCTGAAGAGTTGCTCTGGGCACCCCTCAGCCTCGGGGCGCCCGACAGCTGCGAGGGGAAAGCCGCCGCGATGGCGCGCTGGACAACCGACATGCCCAGTGCCAGAACGTTTCAGCAGCTTTTGCTTTGGGAGAGCGCTTACTCCTCCAGCAGAAAACTGACGCTTCTTGCAGGTCAGTGCTTTGGTCTCAAGGCCCATTAACCACGGGGGAGGCTGCCTGTCCCACAGGCCTGTTCTTCAGCCAGCTGCGGAGAGCTAAGGCTGAGCAGTAAAACACACTGTTGTTGGAAACTTAAACCTCTTTAGGGGGAACTCAGTCCCTACACTGTCATACCGCCCAGACGACAAGCACGTGCATCTTTCCCATCCCATGGGCGCAGAACCAACCTGTGTCCTCGTCAGAGCAGGGGAATCTTCTGAGGCAGCCTGCTTTGTGCCAGAGAGCCCGTGGGGAACGAGGAGCTGGATGAGGAGTCTCCGCAGTTTTACAGCTACACATGTATTGTTTCACAGGTTGAAGCCAAAACCCTCTTACCTGAGACTTCAGCAAGTAATTTTCCTTTCAAATATACAGAAGTTGCTGTTACATTCCAAAACACAGTGCAATTCATTAAGTCCCCACAACCTTCCAGTACCTGAAGGGGCTACAAGGAAGCTGGGGGGGACTTTTTACAAGGGCCTGTAGTGACAGGACAAGAGGTAACGGGTTTAAATTGAAAGTGGGGAGGTTTAGATTGGGTATCAGGAAGAAATTCTTCATGTGGAGGGTGGTGAAGCACTGGAACAGGTTGCCCAGAGAAGCTGTGGATGCCCCATCCCTGGAAGTCTTCAAGGCCAGGCTGGATGAGGCTTTGAGCAACCTGGTCTAGTGGAAGGTGTCCCTGCCCATGGCAGGGGGGTTGGAACTGGATGGTCTTTAGGGTCCCTTCCAACCCAATTTTATGATTCTATGACAGAGCAGAAATCTAAAGCCTCCCATTTCCTTCCGTTAGCGGCTTCAGCAGCAAGAGTTGCATGTTTTCTTGCTTTTCTGCTTTTCTTTATAAGGAACCGTCCATTCACCGCAGTCTTACTCCTAGCTTGATTTTATCTCTTCTGATGTTGCCTAATCAAGGTGCAAATTGCCCCACACACTGAAAAGAATTTCTGTTCAACTTAATCCTTTGTGACTCCCATCACCAACACTTTGTACAGGCCCGTTTGTACAAAGTACTTCCTGTTCTTCACAACACCTCACTATTCACCTGACACAGCTGACAGAAGCATATAGACTAAAAAACCCATCAGATCCAAAGGATAATGTTTTTAGCTGTAATGAAAAGAATAATACTTTGAAAGTTAAAAATACTTGCAACACTTCGAAAACTGAGAGAAGATAGGTTGAATTTAAAGGGGAAGATCGCCTGTCGATTATTCTGTTTATCTGCAAGCAAACAAAGCCAAAATGACTCTCTTTGATAGTTTTCCTATGAGCAAATGCTATTTTGATTATTTTCTAGAAGTTGTGCCACTTCAGCTTACTGAATCATTTTTCTCATGAGTTTAATTTCAAAATGGTTGACACATCCTAACAGGCTAAATACAACTCAGCACTCGGACATTAGTCAAAATACTTGTTTTTACTGGAATTTCTTCAAAAGTGACAAAATGGGCACAGTAATTGATGACAGACTGAAAGATCTCCCTCCATCGTTCTTCAGTTTACATCAGTCTGATCATTTTAGTTAGCTATACCTGATGGCACTTCTTAGTGTCAATAAATCTACCAATTCTTGCTAGTCCCTACAGAGCAGCTTCTTGGATGGTCAAGACGAGAGCAGCCTAACAGGGGCTCGCTGAAGAAACTCGGTAGTGTGCCTTTGCTCCCCTCTTCAATTTACAGACCAAATGATGGCTGTGTGGCAACAGGATTCCGGGAGCTCTTGATATGAAAGAGGAGAATCTTGGCCTGCTCCATGAGAGAGACAGTACCTTTTCTCACTACTTAGCTCCTTCCATTTTCAAACGGACGTTCTTTTGTATCACCCAGAACAATGGCTAATTCTTTTACAAAACAAAGGTTTGGAGGGAAGACTGAGAACACAAGCTGAAGAGAGATTCTAGAAGGTCAACATACCAGCTACTTTAGCTGCAAGTACCCCAGTTATTCACAGACAAGATAAAACAATCATTCCCAAGGCGTGGTCAATGTTTTCTGGGAGCACTTAAAACTTTGTATCGAGAACAGCTGCACATCACGTACCTGTTCTTGTCTGCAGCTTTTAATCATGTGTTTAAAACCCCTTTTTTTTCCTCCCCTCTCCTAGTTATTACCATGCAAGCAATTGTTGTGGTAACATTACAAACGATACATAATAAAGAAAAGGTCTGGGCAAGGTCTTCAGCTATTTAGATCCCTCCCACAGAGATAAATATTACATCTTACAGCTGGATTACTGCCCGAGGCAGAAAGCTGAACGGGTACGGAAAGGATTAAGTTTAAACAGTGGAGTTGCTAAGGAATATTTCTACATCATGGAATAAGACAAAACATCAACAGTAAGAGTTAGATTTAATGATTAATTAAATGATTACTGAACCCAGCTCTTAAACTTCCTTTCCTTCTCACAAATAAAGAAAAACATCGGGCTTAGGGAATCAGTAGTGTATTTAAACAAAAATATATGCACTGCACAAGGATAAAAGCAACACTGAAACTGTAAAGATTTTAATTTTATGTAAGAAATTAAAATGATGCATTAGTGGAAAAGTGTAAATGGGAGTATTTTAGTAGTCAAAATAAATATTTAATAAAAACCACACACCCATAACGAAGTATTAAACCAACAGAACTTAGTGTTCAGAAGGATACTCTCTAGTGTTAAACATTGCTAAATTCAGTGGCCTAATTATTACCACACTGCCTTCAGCAATCATTGCTTATACTAGTGTTGTAAAAAGTCCTAAGAATAGAAATACTGTTCCAGTGACAGCAATAGTAGAGCCCGTTTGCTATAAACAAGGAAGAATTTACTACATTGATGAGTCAATCCACAGCCATTGATACAAAGTCAACAAGGACTATGCATAGCATACTTGTTACTGAACCAGAAGTGCATTTATCAGCATTCAGTGAACTGGGGAAAAAGTGGGAAAACCACCCTTTTTATGTATTTTTTAAAAACAACCAGATGACTGACAGTTGGAGAGAAAACACACATTTCCTTTAAAAGTAAAAGCATAGTCTAAAGATCTTAAAAGCACCGTAAGATTTCTATCAGGTAAAACAGTACAAAACGTTAGCAGTGTAAGTAAAGAACAATTAAAAGGTTATTACAACATTCCATATTTCAGAACAACTGAAAATCTTACTGTGTTGTTGCATCCTCCTATACTACAACCAGCGGCATTTGGATGACTTTTAAATTCTGGCAACAAATAACACGAAGAAACACTCTTTTTCATCTATAGCAGAGGTCTGGAAAGATTTAAACTAATGATGTGTAAACTGAAATGTAGATAATGTTAATACAAACAGATTTATATGGGCGCAAGCAGCAGAGACTGGCTTATCCCATCAATTCTCCATTCAGTTCCTACACTGATTCTTTGAAAGTAGCATTACTGAATATCCCTGATTACCACTGATTTTTAGGATTGCTATTTTCTCACTACTGGGATTATGCATTTAAGATTATTCTCAACCCTTTATCCTCTGACTCCCACCCATCCCCCAATATCATATTTAAAAGTTGCGGTTTCCTCAGATAAAGCATTGCAATGCATTGCAATGCCTTCTGCTGCTTGCTGAGTGATATGCAGTCAACACCATTTCTATTTTCAAAGCACTGAGACCACTTTCAGTTGGATCATGTATTAAACAATAATTAAAAATAGTATTCTCCCCTTGTTCTGTGACATGATAAACACTATTCACCATTTAATATACGTTCAATCTCTTCTAGTCTTTTCAAAGCAGCAACTCTTTTCTTCTCAATGTCTTTGATTTCTTTTGTAGATTTTTTGGGAGTCTCTTTGCCCATATTGTCTTTCTCTGTTTGTTTCATATCTTTTGAGTGCCCTTTATTGTTATCAACTGATGTTTGGGTGGTTTTTTGCTCGTTTTTCACTTCTTTCAAATTTTGAAAGGATTTTTTTTTTTCTTCTGCAGCTGCAGTCCCATCTGCTGGAAGTGATGACTGTCCCATAGCACCAAGTGATGCAATTTTACTTCTAACTATGTTTAGGTGACGATGAATATACTCCTCATGAGGTGCCAGCGCTAGTGTTTCAACCAAACATTTTTCTGCCTTTATTAAGTCCCGTTCTTCGAAATAAACCACACAAAGATTATGTTTTCCTTGTACGTTGTTGGGATCCAGTTCCAAAATCTTTTCAAAGCATTTTTTTGCTCCAACAATATCCTTCTTTTGGTTCATAAGGATATCTCCTTTCAAAATCAGACCTTTGGTATGATCAGGGTAGTATCTCAGTAAGTCTTCCAGGACAGGCAAAGCCATCAATTCTTTTCCTGTCTGAGAATAAAGCAGTGCCAAATTGAACAAAGCACTTCGGAAGTTTGGCTGTAAACTTATGGCTTTCTTCATCCATGCCTCTGCTTCCGTATCTTTTTTGTCATCCATGGCCAGCATACCCAAATTGAAGTACCCGTTTGCATCCTGTGGTTCTTCTTTCACATAATGTAACAGTCTTTGTTTAGCTTCAGGTCTAAGCCGAGCATCACCTGCAAGTCAGAAAACACATTTCATTCCAGAATTACTCTGAAGGACTATGCCTGCATAATGCTAATTGTTATACTAATTAAAATGTAACATCTTCAAAAGAACAGTAAAAAGGAAAAGGCTTAAAATGCTACTTTTTATTATTGCTGTGCAATAGCAAAAGTAAGCGACATCTACCTTCCTTACAGAATGAAACTACTTACAGTTGACTTGTAGCCCAAGTCAGCATCATTACTCTATTATCTGCTGAATAATATTGATGTTTGGTATAACAGACACAAAAAGGTGTCTCTACAAGTTTAACAGAAGTTATTTTCATGTATAGTTGAGCAAACGGAATGCAGAAGACATCAGTCCTGACAAACTGAATCTTACAGAGGCAAACTTGAGTGTAAGACTTCATTTTGTTAAAGACAGATTGAAAGAGCTTAAAGACAGAGATCACACAGGATGACCAGATGCAGCCACGCTAAAATATCTTCTAACAACAAAACAATAAAAATCTTTAACTCCCACATTTTAATTTGCATCAAAGTTTGAAAAAGATACAGTAAAATAATCTTATCTGCTAATACCAGGATTAGACTAGCTTGTACTCTGTGCTGTTTTTCTGAACACTCCAATAAATATATTTTAGTAAGGAATTCCAGGTGCAGGCTTATTGAAGGCTGGTGGAGCAGGGAGCCGATGTTAATGACTCCTTTCACCTCCTGAAACAGTTCTGCATCTTGCAGTATGAATAATCAAATACTAGACAGCTAATGCTTCTGTTTGTTTAAAGCCCTTTGTGCTTCCACAGACAAGAAAGAAAACATTTCTTGTACCACCTAACTTACAATGTGAGAACACATGGAAAATATTCCATTTGCATCAGCTCCAATCATCAACTCTGTATTATCTCTTTCTTAGGGTTCGTTTACCATCCCAACAAAAGAGAAACAAACCTTATCAGTCACTTGCTAAATAGTCAAGTTGATAGGACAAAAGGAAATGGCCTCAGGTTGTGGTGGGGGAAGCTTAGACTGGGTATTAGGAAAAATCTTTTCACTGAAAAGATTGTCAGGCATTGGAACGGGCTGCTCAGGAAGGTGGTCGAGTCACCATCCCTGGAGGTATTTAAGAGACTTGGACGAAGTACTGAAGGACATGGTTCAGTGGTGGTATTAGCAATGTTAGGTTAATGGTTGGGCTTTATGCTGATCTTAAGGGTCTTCTCCAACCTAAAAGATTCTATGATTCTATGACACTCTTTGCAACAGCCTGAATTGACAAACGGTTCACACCCATACAGCTAGAAGCTACACAAAAGAATTTATGAAAATCCAACTTAGACCATCCAAATGAGCGGTACTGCAGAGCAACATATGGAAACATTCACGTTTCCTAGGGCTAGATTCAAAGCCCGCAGAAGTCAGCTCTATTTTTAGTCAACAAAGAATTAAATCAATCAATATAAATGCAGAACCTAAGTATTACACATATTGTACTAAATATTTTTTAAAATATTATATAGGCACAATTTTGAAATGTTTGTGTAACACGATTCTTTACATGTATCATTATAGCACTTGTATGAAAGATGCTGAGCAGCTAGGGTATACGTACACTTTGCACACATTCCATTCACTACCAGTTAATTAGAAAGCTGGCTGACAAAAGAGTTTCTTCTTTGATGATGCTACAAACTTCTGCTTTCCAAAAATAAAACAATTAATTAAAAATTAAATAGTACGGATCCTGTAAATGCAAATACACAATAACTAACTAAGAGAACTAACATACCAGATTCCTGCATTAGCAGTGCTGAGTTGAATAATGCCAGTTTATGCATTGGGTTGAGTTCCAGTGCTTGGTTGAAGTTCTTCAGGGCTTCTGTTGCATCTTTCAGTTCAATGTAAACAATTGCCAAGTTGTACCACAGGTCTGCATTGGTTCTGTCCAGCTCTAGAGCTCTAAGATAAGCTTCCTTGGCTTGCAGAGGTTTGTTCATTTTTAAAAGTAATTCTCCCCTGTTGAAGAACACGATTTGATCTCTAAACTTGTATTCATACTGGTATGAAAATAATTGTAGGTTTTTTAAAAGTTTGCTTTCCTACAGACAGCAGATGTGAGGTCACAGGGTTTTGGTTTTCTGTTTGTTTGTGGGTTTGTTTTTTATTTGTTTTAAACACAAAACAATACAGGACCTTCTTTACATAGCATTCCCAAAGCTTTCACCTCTCAAAAGTCCATATATAACAAATACATACGTAGGGGAAAAAAAAAAAAAAAAAAACAAAAAACCCAAACAAACAAACAAACAAAGTGATCAGTGATTCCTGGTACTAGCACTGCAGTTACACTGCAACAGCTACAGTTTAGGCATCTTTGCACCTCCCTAAGACCCAATGGGAATCACAACTCGCAAGATAGTGAACAGAAGCCTCAAAACCCACAGCCACATTAATCATCTACTTAGTTGACATTTGTGTGCTTTTTAGTTAAGTCTTGCATCTTCTGGACCACCTTTACCAACAAAGGATAAAGAAAGCTCCATGATTCAGACTAACGAAAAGCTTTTTAGTTCAAAACTAAAGTAGGACATTGGAAATTTGAGAATTCATAAAGGAATCTAATGGAATCATCTTGCTATACCACGTTTGAGTACACAGCCTATGTGGAAACACACCATCTGAAGCAGGAATTTAAAAAGAACAGGGCTTCTGATGAATAATTTATTATTGCCCCAAATCTTCATCTTCTCATTTGGAAATTAACCAACTCCACCGGCTAACAAATGTATGAATTGAATACTGTTCATAGCACTGCAAATACATAAATGTTTATTCTAGAATACGTATCCCTACAATTAGACAAGATACCTGCTGATGTAAGCCTGCTTGAAATCTGGCCTCATACTAATTGCCTGTCGATATAATTGATCCGCTTCCTCAAGGCGAGATTCGTTTGCTCGAATTAAGTTTGCAAGATTGATATAAACATTCAGATGGTTAGGAGCAACTCTTGCTGCATACTTCTTACCTGGAATAATCTGTCACAAAGAACATATGTACCAAACACAGATTAGTAAAAATGTCAGACACAGTATAGATCTCCTCTTCACTCTGACACTTTCATTTTAGGGCATCACTGGACATTTGTGTTCAGGCTCTTACTGATTGCAAATAGCAATTCTTCTTTCCCATAAGATCATACCAAAACAGAAACAGAGTATTTTTTCTTCTTTAATTCAACAAAGACATCGATGACTTTTTAAGATATCAGTTAACTTCTGCTACTACCTAATTGGGCTCATACAGACAGCCAACAGAAACCATCCAAACCTTGCAAAACCTTCCCTATTCAAACAGTATTTTCTAAAGCCTAAACTGATGTTCTATCAGACATTTATGTTCCTTTTTTTAACCCTCCAGCCTAAGATAAGTGTAACTAATATTTTAACAGCCACTGATACAACAGATGAAAAGTAGTCATGAAAGATGAAAACGCTATGACATGGCAACTGTTGTACTGTATATCCATCTAGAATCTTCATACTGTTTTACAACAAAAATTTCTTAGCTACTCAAGGGACTGCTGATTTTTGTTGTCAGCCTCATTTCAGGCACGGCTTTTGTTACCTCCATACGCTCTCTGAAACATTCCTCTCTTTCTCCTAAAGAGCTAGAATAAGAATTATTTGCCAGCTATAAATATAACTTCACAAATGGTAAAGGTAACAAAGCACATATTTTAAAAGTATGTTCAGGGAAAGACTTTTTTGTTGCTGCTGCCGCTACCTTCTCCCACCTCCAAAGCTGCATTAAAGCCATCTCTTGAGGACTCAGAAACTCAGTCATCACCAACGTTATTAGCTGTAAGTGAAAATAAACCTACTGTGACGAGAAACTGTAGGCGTACATTTTTAACTGCTGCTTTGATACCCTCGATTTCAGGAAATAAAAAACCCACAGCAATATAAAGTAACTTAAATAGTTTTAACAAAGCAGTCCCAAATTAGCATTTTTTTTAACAGCCATGACTGTATACAACCTACTCTTTTAATCGACTGGTTTTAAGAAAACCCTAACAACTTTAAAGTATACAGCAACACAGAGCTTCAGGAAAAATACAAAAAACCCTATCATGAATATAGGTCTGAAAGAGTTCCTTCCTGTGGTGGTGGATAAAATAAGGTTACTAATTACCTGTGGCATCAATGATTTAGCAATCATATATGATTCTTCAGCTTCTTTAGTCTTGTTTAAGTTTTTGTAAGTTCTTCCTACATTCATGTGGGCACCAATATCATCTTAATAAAGAAAAGAGTAACATTTCAAGTACTTCCATGCACTGAGGAATGAAAATAAATACCTGTGCCTTCAGAGTACCATGAAGTACAGGTAATGCATAAAAAGCAACAACAAATAAAGCAATTATATATTATTTTTCCATCTTAATCATTAAGATGATAATTCAACCATGAAACAAAGATGGATTATAAAGTTAATTGGGAAATGGTTAAAGAGAAGACATAATACTTTCATGTATTTATCTTTATCCTCTTGCTACGGTAGAGACACATGAATTGAAAGTTATTTATTAGGTTTCTAAAAGGAAAAAGGAAAGGTTTTCCAGTAATATCTAGAATATCTTTTGCAACAGATGTAAGGTAAACGTGTACTTTGACACTACCTAGATTTTGCATTTTTTTAAACACTTCCTTAGTTTTAAATAAGAAAATTAAATTATGTTTCATAAGAAACTACAGTTTAAGCTAACTTGGAAAGAATGTCATCAGATCATAGTTTCAAGTGGAAAGTCTGCACCTTTTTACAAATAAAAACTTTTCTGGAGAACTTTTTTTGAGTTTATTTCCAAAAACTATGGATCAATTAACCTAGTGTATGACCTCGTTTGAGGTGCTGAAGAAAAACAGATCATTGAGAAGGTTTTGTTAAGCTAAGCATACTGAAATACTAGGAGTATGGCCTTCAATGGCAACTAGTCAAAGCTTTTACCTGGTTGCACTTGCGTGGCTTGTATGAAGAACTGCAGAGCTCTTTCAAAATTCTTTTCATTTTCTAACGCATGCCCCACATTGTTCCACAGCTTTGCATTGTTCTTATTTACCTAAAACCAGAAAAAAAAGACACCAATGCCTAAGGTATTAAGCTGAAATTACATGCCAACAGATTTTCTTTTAAGTATACCTTAAAGATGTAAAAATGCACAGCAAATGACAGATTTCATCAAGCTGCTGTATGTTCAGAATAACAAAATGCTGCATATACAATGACTACGCTGAACTTGTTGCTCAACATCCATTTATTTTAGTTATTTGCCCCTATAAATAACAAACATTTTAAAATTCATTCTAATTACTATGGAATGTTGTACAAACTATCCTACCAGGCCACATGCACACTGAATAAATTATTCTGAGCGTCAAACTTTCTGTAGATTTTCATACTGAAACATATCGTGCTTTCATCTGGATAAGAGAATACATTCAATTGCTTTAACACACGAAAAAATTATCATCTACTTCTTGCACATGAATTCCCATGTGTGCATCACACTGCTTTTAAAGTATTCACAAAAGTAACTAATGAGATATTAATACTGTCAATGAAGGTATGCAAGTGGCAAAACAAGCATGATTTCTCTCCTTTTTTATTATGCTCTAATGCATTTTTTGAGAACACCACCACAAACTTTCCATTATCCTTTTCAAACAAAATACAGTACCTTTAAAGCTGACATAAACAACGTGTACTCTGACTCCCAATCCCAGTTTCTGTGCAGTGTTTTTAAGGCATGAGTGAACAGTACCACAGCCAAGCAAACCCCAGAAATTTTTCTTAGCACACTATTAAACAAACAAAGATTTGTTATAAGCACACAAACAATTCTCATTTATACTAGAATAAATATCTCATATGCTAGGAAGCAAATAAACTGACAACCATATTTGTGAATGATATATTCCAATTTATTTGCCTCATCACCAAATGGAACACTCCAAAAATGTGAAAGGAAATAATGTCCAATTTCAAGTTAATTTTGTTATGTACGTGGATTTTTGTTACCATGATATAATTCACTTAACCAATGCAATCCACATAGTGCTTATGTGTAACTTAAGGCAATGAACATGATTATGATGTCAGACAGTGAGATTCTTCAAAACACCGTACAAAATGTTAAAAAAAAAAGAAAAATGCAACAAAAATAATCATCCCATGCTTTTGTTTCCTATCAGACAATTCCACACCAATTCTTTATCTCACACATCACTAATCTTTCCAGCACTGTAGAACATATCTTAATAGAGAGGTCTGCTGTGGACACTACCCAATCTTCCATAAGCAAACAAAAACCTAGTGCTACTGTAATATCTAAATAGGAGAAAGGTTTAGTGTCTTTTTAAAGCTGCAAATTGGGTGAAAAGTCACTCCCTGCAACAAGCTTCTCAGGAACAATCATCTTCTGAACTTCGTGCAGTTTATTTCTCTGGAGTTTAAACATCACTGAATTTAACCACAACAGGTCTCTGAATTCTAATTTAATTATGAAAAAAGATGTAAACACCCAGTTACCTGTCTGTAATTGCGAGTATCATTTCATTTTTAAAAACCTCATTCTTGAGCAGACATACAGCTGTTCACCAATGACATCTATTTCTTATATGTGGCTTAGGCAATAGCTGTTCACACCACTAGGTACTTCACACGGTTTTGCTAAAAACAGAAAGGGGATTTTTTTCCCTTCCATTGCTAAGATATACAAAATGCTCTGCAGACATAAGACTACCTTGCTTGGTTTTACAAAATACTGAAAAATAAAAAGTAGAATAACAGAATTAAGAGAGGAATTCTAAAACATCAGCAAAGCAACCAGTGAGAACTGGCACATGCAGTAATCTACGTCCCCACCAGCCTTGTCAGAAAGTTTTTGCTTTCCACATATTTGTAAAGCAAGGAGCCTTCTCTCTTTCATAAAAGTTTTTAGAGTGCTGATACCCAAAATTTCTGTAGTAAAGCACACTGCTGCCTAATTTTTCTCCCCAGCCTTCCTCTCCTGGTTCCTTGCTTTCTTTCACATCACTTCCATTTTTACTGCCTCACAGTGGGATTTGTGATAATACCTTGTGGGAGTGAGGAGAAAGTATCACTAATTTCTCATTATCCCATGCTGTCAGCTTTGCCAGCACAAGTTAGCATAAATTATGCTGCAAGGCCTCAGCTCTAATGACAGCAAGCAACAGACCAAGAATTGCTGCCTTTGAACTAGCATTAGGATGCTATCGGGGCAACAAGGGTAAAGCATTCAGGTCTGAGGGAGGTAGGTATGTGCAGATCAATGCAGTAGATAGCAGAAAAGAAACAATGGTACATGCAAACGTGCTTTCAGAGCAGAATTTCCTAAGGAGAAACGGTTATCCAAAAAATTCTTTAGTTTAAGAAATACTGAATGGCTCTGATGTCCATTCCTAGCATAATGCATCTGAAAATGTAATCAATAAAAAGACATTTTAATATGCTGTGGACTGAAAAACATGCATTCTATCAACTTCAGTCAGTAATCACCTTTGAATAAAGTACAAAGCACATATGGCCATAACATTATTTTTCCTAAGCCTTAAAAATGTCTAGGATTTAAACTGAAAGTATTTGTGGTTCTTTACAGAAGAGATAGGTTATATTATCACAGGTAAAGTCCTTTTGTAGCAAGTGTAATATAAGTTACATCATATTCTAAAAATGTTTGTTGCAGTCTGAGGCATCTTTATATATGTATATATACACACAGTTAAAAATATATAAAATATACATACGTGTATTCACATATGTGTGTGTGTGTGTGTATATATATATATACACACACTCTAAGTAAACGTTATAATACCCTCAGAAAAACTCTCTGGTCTCCAAAGAACTTCTTTTTCATTTGTTCACATGACCGCCAAATGGTTTCTTGGTCATTACTCTGTGTTCATTAAGAACTTGAAACAGAGTAAGAGCTATAATGTAATAAACTCATACAGGTAAAAGCTCCTTCGGAAAAGCCTGTGGTTACAAATATGGTTATCTTTTATGAAATTAAGAGAGATGAGTTAAACCAGTCACAGATAACACTACCTTACCTTTTATTTGATAATTTTTTCCATCCATGTGCTACTAAAATGCAGAATCCCATGCTAGGAACATACAGCACTCGTTCTGCTACTACGAATCCAACAGGAAAAAAGAGGTTTGATGCTGGAATGAATGGTAGCACTATTAAGCAGAGTGCCTAGAAAAGAAATGCAAATGAATTAGTAATCGAGATTAGGCAGTGACAAAATGTACCGAAGAAACAAATTACCAAAAAAAGACCGGAAAACCAAACATACATAGTAGAACTTGGGGTTTTTGTTTCTTTCTTTTAAACACTAAGATCTGTTTGACATTGAGACCACTCTGGCCACGGAGTTTTAACCTGCAGATGACACTGTTCCTTACTTAAGGGCCTACAAGTGTATTTGCTTTTCTATACCCCAGAAAAGAGCAGCTATATGACAGAACACTACTAGATCAAAGGATCAAATTCAAAACCATGTTTTAATAAGAGTTCCACATATAAAAACATGACAGTCTGAGAACCTTGGACATTAACTTTCATAACAATTAAAAATTTATACCAGCTTATATGATGCATACAGCAGTTACTTCCTACAATACAATAAAGTCCATTTTAATTTCTGTAAAAAATGTGAAGAAATAACACAAAAATCAGAATCAGACACAGAATACTGCACTGTTTAAACATTGATGTGTAAGGGCACCCTGAAATATATAAAACGACCTTGAACTTAAGAACTGCATAATTGCAGCTCTTCGGTTGGTGACAGACATCTGAACAAAAGGTGTGTTTATCACAGACAGAGAGATCCACCTGCTGCAAAGGAAGGGGACGTGACCATTTGCTTTAAGGCTTCTCTGACTGTTAAATAGCAGCTTTACAATGTCTGGTACCAGGCAATACTTAAACTATTATTGCAAAATATCTGTCCCCCAAGTTACCAAAACAAAAACCCAAACCAAACCTCAAATACCCTACAGAAATTGAATGTTTCTCTGAAGAAAGAAAGAGGTATTTTCCAGTAATTTTCAATACTACTAGCTGTCACCTTCTGTCTTGATTTAAGCATAACTTCAACTGCTTTTTCTATACTAAAACCCGGTCAATCTAGGATTTCATATATAAAAATGCAACAATGATATAAAACTACAATTAAGGTTATAAGGCATATTTCAAGGGACCAAGATATGCACATGGATCATTAACACAGCTCAGCTGATCCACGGCATTCATTAAGCTACATGAAAATAAATACACAATTAAGCCTTGAAGAAATCACAAGCACAATCTAGAGAATATGTTCATTACTTGGGGCCAAAATTTAATTTAATGCCATTTGACATTTCTCTCTCTCCTTCACATTTTTATAGAACATGCTCCTTATAGAGTGCCTACCAATCTGTGAAAGTAAAAGCCTCAACACAAGTCTGTAATAGGTTCTTGTAATCCACTTTGAAATGCAGGATTCATCATGCTATCCCCAAGTCAGTCTTCTGTATCAGCTTTTAATTTAGTTATAGCAAATGCCTTCACACTTTTTGGGGTGGATTATGGGAGACGATGGGATCATTCTGATTTTCATTCCATTTTAAGCAGCCAAACACATTTCTGAGCACAAAAGCAAACGTATAAAAGCATATCAGAAGTGTGCTTTAGCAAACACTGTGCTGCTTTGCAATAAACAGCATTTAGTATTATAATGCATGCAATGCCTGCACACAGGCTTAAATGAATGATTTATGAAATCTTCTGATTAACTGATTTGAAGTCACCCCTTAAGATTTTGAAAAAAATATTATTTTATATTGTTGTTAAAAACATGCAGTTTGTTTTGGTTTTAACATAGTAAGGACATCAGCTCAGCATATGTGCAGTGAAAGAATTCTTTCCAATGGGTTTGAGTGGAAAGGATTCTGCAGCTGCTAAAGGTCTCCACTGAGTGCTTATGATCTAGGCACCTAATAAAAAGGTTTCTGTGTGTTCTCTTCTGTGCAATTCCTCTGACGACAAACATTACACAACATTTTGCCAAACTTCTCTTTAGATCCTTTTGCCTCCTAGTATACTGTCCTTCAAATACAGTTTCTCGGGCAACAGACTCAATGCCCTAGTGCAGATTAAAATGCATTCTCTTCTGTTCTTTCTTTGTGTCACAGTCTTTCAGCAGATGCAGGGGCTCCATTCAAAAAAATATCCTGGTCAAGGCAACTAGGGGGGGGGAAGACAAAAAACATTAAAGTATGCAGGAAGAAAAAAGCACATCAATATTATCAATATTCTTCTCAGCACAGATCCAAACCAGCCTCATTCTAGCTACCGTGAAGAAAATTAACTCGACCCCAACTAAAACCAACACAATGACAAAACTCTACAATACTACCATAAGCTATGGAAACTATCTGAACTGTGTGGTAACCAGTCAAAAGTTCACAGGGAAACATTTCAAAGCCTAAGTGAGGTGTAAACACAGCGAGTAGAGAAATAAATATTGTTAAATTTAGAAGTAGTGATGCCTTGGCATACTACTTAAAAGTGTTAAAAACCTACTCTGCGAAGCCTACAATACCTGTCTGTTCCTGACATTTGCACAGTAACAAGCCACCGAAGTCTGCAACGGAGTAGTGTGGAATGCTGTCTTATCAACGGGGAGGTAAAGCACCCTTGTTTGGGACACTCAGCAAGTATCAAAACATAGTTAAAAGCTTTTATTAAATATCACCAGCCAATAAAAGAATGCCTATACCCAAGAAATTCCATGAGCAAACAAGGGCCACGATCGCAGCTTGATTCTGAAACCTACTGAAAAGCCACCAGAGCAATTCTAGATCAGTACTATTCCTAGTACTCAACATTTTCAATATGTACTGTGTAACCTATTTATAAAGGTCACTTAGTCTGACAGTCAAGTTATCTGACTGTTCACAGGGATAAACAGTAAATAGAAGAGAATTTAACAGCTCATGGTTTCCAGAGCATGTCCTTTACTAATGTAAGAATAATTGATTACTTCAAGCAGCATAATGACATCAACCTGCCAAAGCATGTGTTCTGATCTGTAATATACAATCCCTTTTTTTTAGTTTAATAATGTCAGTTATTTAAGAAAAAAAAAAAACAACAAAAAAACCCCACCAACACTCATAAAAAAACCCAAACCAAACGAGATTTATCTGTTTTGTCCTCTCCTAGTTCTGCTGTTTCGAAAAGACAATTTTAGAGCCTGCGGTAAAAATTAAAATAAGACAAAACTGAACACAATGTACCCACTTACCAGTTATTTTTCCTGGAGATGACTGGTATCAAACAGATTGAAACTGACTAAAATGACTCCTTCAACATTTGCATCTCTCACTAATGCGTTCATCCGCTCAAGAAACTGATCTTGGGAGGAACTGTGGAACGTCCATTGGCACTTGAGGAAGTGGGAGAAGGAATCCCTTCTTCTGTCTTGTCCCTCAAGCGGTACAGCACCAAATCCATGTCCACACCAGCAAATACATAAAGACATGTTCAGATGCTTGTGACCCCCCTTCTCTTTTGCATTTTGGATGCCTCTCTTCTGCCTTTTTTTTTTTTTTTGCAGACTCCAAATAAATACCTTCAATTCTGCAACAGGTTTAAAGTTGTACCTTCTCTGATCTCATAAACAGAAGTAACTTGAGACTCTTCCCTTAGATCAGGCTTCACAATGACACCTCAGGGTCTCATTGAGCTAGTGGAAGAGGTAAAACATGCTAGAGATCTGTGATGGCAGAAGCTCTTCTTCCTTTAGAGTGACAGTCAGCACAGCGTGTAACACCAGGCAGTGCAGTCAATCATGGAACCAACTGTGATGAAGACCCCATTATACTAATACCATGTGCGATCCATATGGACAGCACACAGAATTCATACCTGCCAGGGTAGTAGTTTATTTTGATCATCATGAATTCAGGCTTTCATTGGCAGAACTGAGAACCAAGTGTGGGAACTAGTTTTCAAAACTAGGAATTCAGCATAGTTATCTGGAACATTGACATAACCTCTGTGAATTGGCACCACTAAATAAAAAGATTTAGATTCTTTGCTTGAAATATGGTAAGTAAGTCTAACTCTCTAGTAAGTCTGACTGAGAAGCCATCAGAAAGACTCTCCCCCTCTCTCCCCTGGCAGACTATCCATCCTACATCAGGATGTTACTGGCTGACTGGAAGGCAGAAATAGACTCTGGCCTACAGTGCTGTTGTACGTTATAGTACACAACAATTATTTGCTAATATAAAACACCGCATTCTCATTTCCTAAGAAATTAGCTCCCAGGCACTTACATATCACAGCATCATACTGAAGATTGTATACACAGCAAAGGTATATATTAAAGGAAAACAACTTTCATTAAACAAGGATTATACTGTGTTAAGTGACACCAAGGGTCACATGCTGGAGTGAATGATCTCAGAAGACCCTTCCTATAAAAAATACTTGGAATAATGAAAACAAATATAAAAACCCATCCTCAAACAAAAACTGACTTACAGCAATGTATGCTGACAATTCCATCAACCCTTTCCTCCTCTGAGCCTTACTGGGTAGGCAGTAAATAAAAATGTAGGGTAATACAGGGCTTTAAAGTTCAAGAGTTGCCAAGTGAACCACTTCCCCACATGCATTTCTACTGCTATCAGTGCACTGGATAAAAATTGTTTTACCTTATGTAAGAAGGAAGATTAAAACTACTCCTTTATATTTTTTAAGCGCTGTAAAACCGTAACATCTTTTTCTGGTATGTCACCTTGCCCACTGATTTTATCAGTGAGCTATTTAAGTTTCTTTTCTTCATACGCGGTTTTCAAAGTCAGGACAAGAGGCTTCATCAGCAATACTACAGATCATTTCCGCAGATTTTCTAGTTAAACAAACTGCCTTGCGCCAGCGACAAGATAAGAAGAACCATATGAGTCAGAAGTATAATGTTAGATGTTTTTCAACTGAATCAAACATCATCAGCTGATTCACAAAGAAAGTCTTAAGTTGCGCACAAACCTTCCCACCCATCTGAAACTTCTGTTGGCCTAGTTACATATTAAAAAAGAACATTATTTCTGAAGCAGACCAAGATCTTTGCATGCCGGTTTGCTGAACACATGACTGCACTGATTTAATAAAGAACATGGTATCAGGTAATCATTAATCTTGTGAAAATTTGCAATGGAAGCTATCAAAAAGATGACTAGGTTTGGATGAAAAAAAATACTAGCTCATTTGCTCCTTTCCATTTCCTCCAGAATATTCTCTGCCGTTAATCCATCTGAGTTTTAAGGTCATATAACACTGAAAAACAGGAACTGATCTTAAAAGATTGATGAAATTAGTTTTCCTTAGAAAATGGAATAGACTAGAGAAGAGTGACTTTGTGAAAAGAACGAAGAGGAAAATCTGTATTCCTAAATGCCAAAATATGTCCTTTTCTTTTATACCTATAAGAAAGAAAGTCGAGTCGCTTGCTAAATACACAGGATGACTACTGACATTTAAATAAGGTAGACAGTTCGTGGGATGGAAATGCATTCCAATCCTTAAAACATATTTAAGTTCTACTGAAAACCCTCATTTGTTAGTTGAGTTCTGAACACCTGAGAAAGGCTGCAATACAGTTTGCAAATACATAACAAGGGGCATGTTTATTCTCATCTCTTGTCTGTTCCCTTCTATCTCATCCCTGACAGTCAAATACTTAATGACAATTTAACAGTTTTGTTGCTACAATTTCCATTTTCTTAGATGTTCATTCAGCCCAAAAGGAGATGCATGCAACACCTCTGGGTCACAGCAGATCAGACATGTGACCAAACAACCTGAGCCACTTACACGCTTTAAAAAAGGACAAAACCAATGTATCATTCATACCATCAGTACAGTCTTGGAGGAATCCCCAGGAGAGCGAAGACTGAAGACAATCAAAGATCCCAGAAAGCAGAAGAAAGTAAGGGTGGCAACATTTCTAACATCAAAGAAAGACTCCACGAGAGGAATTGTTCCCATTGTCCAGTCACAGCATAATTCTGAGGGGTTGAGAAGCAGCCAAGCATTTACAGGCAGGAGGTAGTTGAAAGTCAGCTGTCTTGCTGGTGATGGACTAACAGCAGCTGGGTTATCAAACCTAGAGCAAAAGGAAGGAGAAAAAGCAGCTTTTTTCATTGAAAGGTATGGTCTTGATCCACTTTGTGCTCAGAAACCAGCAAATTCCATAGCTAGAACTATCAGTTACAGACTGTACAATAACCTAATCTTCCTGCATTTGTCAGGTGTGTAACTTGGGAACCATGTACAATGATTCGTCTTAGTATGGGAGTGAGCCTCCTCCAAGTTTAAGAAACTGGTTTGGGATACAAACAACATACGTTTGAAGAAACAGAACAATTTACACCTACAGTTAGGTTCAGTGGTCCTTGTTCACATTTTTAAGTTTGCCTTATTTTTCAGGGAAAATACTAGATTAATGTGTTTCTACATTGCTCAAACTTTCATTATAAATTGCAGTTTTCCAGTTCTAACATTACTCATGTACTCATCTTCAAGCACCATATCAAAGCAAGCCATGATTTCTGCACAGTTAATATCTAAAATCAAAAAAATATCTTGTATGTAAAAGAGGAAAAACTTAGGAGGCCTGGAGTATTCAGCCAAGGTCCAAACACATAGCCAATATAAAATACTTGACTAACAACAGTTTATTTCTGAATTACTAAGATAAACTAACAATTGTAAGTTTTAAAAATGAATGCCTCCTCAGATACCTCAGTATTTTGGCCATTCTTGTCAAGAGGTACCGAAATATACCATTTATCAATTTCACAAAAAATGTAACACTGCAGCCATTGCTTACTAATATTAAAATAAATTAATAAACAGTAATGTATTTTTTGCCATTTCA